ACATTATCTGATTGAAACATTTCCTCATATTCTCTAAAACAAAGATAATAAAAGTAAACTGGATGTTGCAATGATTGGTTTTTTTAAGATTGTATGAGAGTGTGATTGCTTCAGTAAGAATAACAGAATTTAAACTGAAGGTCTCACCTTACAAAGCAAACATTTCCTAACTTCACATATTTTCAGAATTTTCATGGAAAATTTTGAAAATATTAATTTTAGTTTTGAGCTTCAAAAATTAAAAAAAAAAAAAAAAAAAAAAAAAGGAAACATAATGTGAGCTGAGACTTCCACAATCTGACTAATTGCCTGCATCTAACATCATTAGCTACTTTTGTCATCTCTCTGGACATGTCTACTTCCAAATGCCTTCCACAGCTTCAGTGCAGGGAGTAGCTACCACTGACAGGCTCTGTTGCTCAGAACTTCTTCTGTTAAGAGACGTTCTAAGTGCATGACCCATTCTTGTTTTGCAAAGATTCAGAAAATAATTTGGGTTGGAAAGGGCCCCTGGAGAACTTCAGTCCAGCTCCCTGATCAAAACAGGGCCAGCTTCAGTGTCAGAAGTGGTTGCTCAGGGCCTTGCCCTGACGAGTTTTGAAAATCTCCAAGGATTTTCCAGAGTTTGATCTCTCTCATTATGAAGAATTTTTTCCTTATGTTCAGTCTGAACGTCCCTAGTTGCAATTCTCAGCGGTTGCATCTTGTCCTTTAACTGAATACTCCTGGGAGGAGCTGATGCTGTCTTCTTCATAACTGACCTTCCAGTATTGATAAAAGATTTTCCCCCAAGACTTTCTCTTCTCCAGGCTGATCAAGCCTAGTTCCCTCCGTCTCTTTCTCAGATATCATATGCTCCAGCCCCCTGACCACCTCAGTGGCCTCTGCTGGACTCTCTCCAGTTTGTCAGTCTCTCTCTTCAACTGGGAGGCCCACAGATGGACACAGTAACCAGATGTGGTGTTAGATGTGCCAAATAGAGGGGAGTAACTACATCTCTTGACTTTCTAGCTCAGCTGTTGCAAGTACAGCTCAGTATGCAGCGGGATTTTGTTGTCACTGGGACATGATACTGATTCATGGACAACTTGTCCACCCAGTCCCTCAGGTTCTCTTCTGCAAAGCTGCTTTCCAGTCATCTTGTCCCTAGGCTGGACACATGTCTCTAAGCACAAGCTTGTTCTGTCAAAGGTGCAGGTCTTTGATGAACATCATGAAGCTTCTGTTTGACCAGTGCTCTGATGTGGAAGGTCCCTCTGAATAGCAGCCCTGCCCCCAACATATCAACCACTGCTCTACTTGGTGTCATCCACAAACATCGTAAAGGTTCTGTCCCATCAGCTTAAATACCAAAATATATCTTAAAGTGGTGTTCCTTTCCTTTATTTCTCCCTGTAAATCTGTGCTCTGATTCTGCTTCTGATTTCATCCTGACCATTCCTTCCCCATTTGTCATCTAAATTACTGGTTTAGCTGGGCTTATTCTCCTGTTCTCTTCACCCCACACCTCCTTCCCAGTTGCCTGTCTCAAATCTTTTTCTTCATGGGTTTTCTGCCTGAAAATGTATTTCTCTCCTTCTCTGGTCTTGTCTCTGGGACCCCAGACTCCCCTCTCCCCTCCATTTCCTGGGAAAGTCAGAAACAGAAGAATCTCTTCTGTTATCACCTTATAGAATGTTTCTTCATAAAGAATACTGCTTATGAACTGGAAAATGTGTGTCTTTGATTCAGTGACTGGCAGAGATGGACAGAAGGAAGAAATCTGTGGAACTAACTTGGCTCTGCAATGCGACAGAACAGCCGTGATCAATGGCTTGGGAGAAAAGTGACTCTCCCAGTGTTACAGGATTGTTCCCTTATTTTAGCCAAAATTTTGTTTAGTATCATGTTGCATCAGCCTCCAAATGTCTTTGCTTGTGAAAAAATGTTGCACAGCACAACGGGCCCTCCTTGGAAATTTATACTGTGCTTATTCAGTCTCTTTTCCCTCCCGTTTCGGTTTCATGCTGTTTCCCTGGTTACTACATATTTCTGTTTGTCACCCCTCGTGAGCTGATGTCCTCCTCTGTTTACATGCATCACATTTTTGTAGGCAGCTAGCACGTTGCCTGCCCGAGGTTCCCGTATCTCCCCCTGCTCCACACTGCTCAGCTCTGACGGCCTCTTTGCAAAGCTTTTCCCACCCTTCTCTCTTGGGTGCTCTTCAGTTTCCAGTTACACTTCCCAGTTACCCATCATAAAGAGCTGAGCTGCACTAAACCCCTCTTCTCTATTCGATTTCCCTTCCACCTTTCATTTCTTCTATCATCCTTTGTTTCTGCTCTTCTACTATCTGTTTCCTAGCATCTCTTCTCACTTTCCCACTACAAGAGATGTGCTGAGGCTTCACAGATCTTCTCTAACCTCTTGGGTTGGGGAGAAGTGGATAGGTTCCTCTGGAGTATTTTCAGCTCCCAAGTGCTTGGAGGGAATCACACCAACACTTTGTTTTCTCTTTTTCCCATCACTCACCCTGAGCTTTCTGATGGCTCTCAACTCCTCTCATCCCTCTTTCCTCTCATTTCTTGGCAAAAGCTATTTGGACCCTCACCAATCCATGACCCATGAGACCAAAAGTTGCTCTGGCTGGATAGTTGCAGCATTGCCAGAAAGCTGCAGATTCTAAACTTAATTTTTGTTCTTTCCTTATGAATAATTTCCCTCTTTCACTCAAATTAAACCACAACAGCAGGTGAATGATTGCTCTGTGAGGGAGGAGGTGTTTAACTCGGTTCTTCTTAGAGCAGAATACAGGGCAGAGGAGGTGTTGGTGGGTAGCTTTGCTATATTTCAGCTCTTCAGATGCTCAACAGAGAAGGCAACTATCATTAGAAAACAATAAGTGAAAGAATTATATATACATCTGGACAATCTAATTTTTTTTCCTGGGGCTTGTATAAGACATACTACAGAGCCTTGATTTTGAGAGGAGATGGAGCCAGTTTTCTGGAAAATCAGACTTGTTTCAGGATTGGCGAGATGCAAGCTGCAAATTTAAGTATTTGAAATACATCACTGATCACTTTTGAAAATCTTGCTGAAATTGCTTCACATGGACAGGCATGAAGTAGGAATCCACAGGCTCCAGCACCACGGGCTGTTTGTTAGTATAGAAGATCATTCAGTACAGGCTGTTCTGACTTTAGGTTAAACAAAACTAATCCTGAACTGGTGTATTTGTTATACTATCCTGACTGCATCTGTGCCTTTGTACATCTGTGCACAAACAGATATGGCCAGAGGATACCTTGCCATGCATGGTAAGCCATGTTTTTCTCTCTCTTGTGGAGATACAGGGGATTCAGATTGTGGTTTGGGTTTGTTTCACCCCAGGCAAGGGTACTGAATGGTATGGGGAATAGATAGGAGCAGGAAAGCAAAGGTTCTGGGCTCCCAAAATATTAGGAGGCACTTACTGAGTTTTATACTAATCCAGTGTGGCTAGATCAGCGCTGAGCAGGGTCCCTACAGAAAGGTCCATAGCTAGAGGCTCTGGTACTCTGCTAGGGTATTTTGTTTTGTCTTGCCTTTGTAGGAAAAGCCAACGCCTTTGGAAACTGAGACTTGATTTTCCGTGGATGGCCAACATGAGTCATGACTTGCTGAACTTTTAGGTACTCTCTCTGGGAGTGTTTCTAGTGCTTTCAGTACTTATATCTACCTGATTCCACTACAGAGGATCATTTCTGGGAACAAACCACAGCAAACTGTGGTAGGAAATATTTGAAGATCTATTGTCCTGCTCCATGCAAACAGCTGCAGAGAGGAAGCCAATTGTTGCATGCAACAATTTTTTTTTTAAAAAGTTTATATTGGCTGCATAAATCCCACATGCTCTGTTACATCTCCCAGAATCCCAGAAGGGTATTCCTTGGCTTAGCAGCATGATCCCTCTTTACATCAATAGAGGTTGTTGCAAGGACTTTATGAAAAAGCAATGAATGAGGGTGTAAATTTTTTGTAGCAAAATTACAGTCAAAACAGCCTGTATCATGACAATCTATTAGGACAATGGGGATAACTGGTGGAAAGCTGTATAATGTGTGAGTAATGGCTACGTTTGATGCAGGATCAAGTACTTCACATCTGGGCTTCTTGCAGGAGCAGGACCAGACAGGGGAGGGAAGACTTGAGGCTGCTGTCTGTATACCTCTATTTTGAGGAATAATATCACAATGAACTTCCATTTCTCCCTGTTTTCCCTCTCTTTGCTCTTTAATTCATGTTTTCTTTCCCTCATGCTCCTCATCCCATACAGAATAACAGAATTGGCTGGAGTGGGCTCATGTCACTTCTTGGTTGCTTATGCTGCTAACAGTGAAATCCAAATGAGCCATGCTGCACTTTACTCCTGAGGATTATTCCTCGAGAAAGCTGTTTCTGCTCCCAGGGAAGTCAGTGGAAGTCTAATTAGTCCCAGATGTTTAGTAATAACAAGCACTTCCTTTTGGTAGAGCCAAACAAAAGCAGTGTTAAAACAGTTAATTAAATGGGTTTGGCCCTGTCATCAGGTTATTAACTAATTCCAGTCATGACAGCCAAGCTAATATTGGCTCTCAGAAGGAGATATAATCTTGCCATGCTCAACACAAAAGGCATGAACTCAGTGTGTGGCTAAATTAGCCCTCATTTGGGCACACAGCTCAGCTTGCTTTCACACCAAAGTAAAAGCTCATCGACTTTAGCATCGGGCTTCCAACTAATCACTGGGGTAGCTGCTTGTGCAAACTTTCTCCTACAAGAATGAGAGCTTGAGTCAATGGGTAGCACTGGCTTTTGTAGATGTTATATCAGGCCCTATTGCTGCTGGCTCTTTGTGCAAATGTTTGCCTACATCTTCAGTACATCTCCTTGTTCTCCCTTGGTTATACTCTAAGATATGGAGCAGCTGTCCCTGCCTCAGCACCAGAAAGTAAAGGTTCAAGGTAGAGTCTGAAAACAGAAAAATAGGAAGACATCGCTTTTCATCTGTGGAGCATTCCAAGCTGGTGCTTTAATATATTCACATCCCTGTGATTTTTACAAAATTCAAAGGTGTTTTTATTGTACAAAATTCCACAATGAAAACTACCAGCCAGTTTCTTACATAACTGTTTTAAAAATAGAATTATGCACCTTTTTGTAGTGTGTTAATTTTGACATTCACTAGCTGGAAGAAACAGAAATTGAGCAGCAATTTGAGTTATTTACCTGAACAGGTTTTGTTTTGACCTCTGTTTCTCTTATGTGCCTTAATGTACGGTTCCTGACATTAACAGAAAACCTGATACAGCTTCTTTCGAAGCCATTTAACCTCGTTAGTAGGTCAGGTTCCCACTGTTGGTGAGGTTTTCTTCACTTCAAAAGGGTGAATTTGCTGTCAGAGTACAGGACATAACATATGTCAGTGTCAGCTTTTAACAACACAACAGGTCAGCCACCTCATTCATGACAGAATGAGGATCTATACTTTTATTGCAGCCAGTCCTCTAGACCATAATATCTTTTTAGGGAGAGACAGTGGACATCTGAACTGCATAATGGCCCAGGACTACGTTCCCTGTGTATTGTTTCATACCAGTATCTTTAAAACACCTTTTTGCTGTCTAACCTCCTGTGACCTTTAAAAATAGATATATTATTCTTCTGCATTGAAATTTGACTGTATGCAGTGAGTTCCCAACAGTTTTCCTTAGAAATATAAACATTTCAGTCCAATGTTAGCTAGTTGAAATTCATTCTCCAAGATTTTTCTTTTAAAAAGTGTTCACCCCAGAGTTGAATTTCTTCACATTAAACCCAGTTAAATATCTATTGCACGTGAGGGGCAAATTTCTCCTCTTTGAGTTGAACTGTGGACCTGTGACCTCCTGTGCAGATCTGGGTAACGTACAGTGCAGCTGTTTCATGCCTGAGATTTCTCTTGCATCCCTCGTTGATGTTAAGCACCAAGACTAACGGACCTCCTCTACCTCTCATGTCTTGCCCCAATGTCTGGAGCAACATACTACAAGCAAAATGAGATATCCAAAGAGGTTCCTACCACCAAGGTCTTTGGTTCCTCTGGTCAGCCATGGATTTTCTAAGTGGTGGCCATGAGCACAACAGACACAGACTGTAATTTATTTTTTTAGTTAATTTCTCATTGTTTTGGAACTCATGGGAGATTTGCAACCATCTTCAAGGAGTGAAAGATTGTACTTTGGCCTGCCTTGGTGTAGGTTTTTCTGATTTCGGTTTAAGAAGGTTTAGGAGTTAACCAGGTAGGAAAAAGCAAAGCTCAGACCAAATCAAAATATCTCATGGAGGCACATAACTTTGAGAAAGGCTTTCCAGCTCAGTTGATGTCATCAATGACTGTTATAAAAAGGTGATTCTGTTAAAACGCTCAATTTGCATAAAGTCTTTCTGTGAAGGTGACATCACAAAGTATCTCTTAGTGACAACTCTCAAGACCTTAGAGATCTTTTTCTTTCAGACTAGTTTAAATTACGCATTCCTCAAAACACCAGCAGGTCTTTACAGTGGCCTCTTCTACCACTATATAAACTTTTTAGGCAGATCTGCTTGTGAATGAAGCAAGTGCAAAACATGGCAAATTCTGCTTTCCGTCCCTGCCACCCAGAGCACGATAGTGGTGCAGTTCAGGGGCGCTTTAAAACTGTCTTAAAATCCACAGTTAAAAATCAAAGATGAGAATTTTGCCCTTCATTTCTACACACTGGCAGTGTAGCACCTGATTTCTTCAGTTTTCAAGGCATTTTGTGTTCCTATGCTTTAAACTGATGGCTAAAGTTTTGCCTGCGAAAGCAAAAAAATGAACCCACGCCAATGATGATCACGGATAAAACCAACACAAATGTTAATATAATAAGGAAGTTGATTTTCTTCAGATCCTCTTTTTCACAGTCTTCTGGTCTGATGTTCCCAATATGCATTTCTTCCTGGTACCCAAAGTTCTGAGTGTACTGGCACGTTAAATGCTCCACGTTGGGGATCTGGACATTTTTGTTCTGGATCATTGATGAGAGCCAGATGTTTCCACAGCAATTGAGTGGGTTCCCAGTGAGATACAAGTTTTTAAGGGAATTTTCTAATGCTAAAATATTACTGTTCTGTAATGTACTAAACCTATTGTTCCGTAAATCCAGAACTTCCAGTGAAGAGTCACTACCCCACTTAGGCAGCCAGTTCAGCTGATTTTCAGAGAGGTTTAAATGCTTAAGGTGACTAAAACAAGGCAAGTCAATATTTAATTCTATCAGGTTATTGCCATGTAGATACAAATATTCCAGAGACTTTTCCAGTCCTGATAATGCTTTAACTTCTATTTTCAGTCCAGGGTTCATGGAGAGATCCAAGACAATGAGAGAAGTCTTGTAGAAAGTGTATGCTGGAAGGATGTTCAGCATGTTGTCAGCTAGGTACAAGTACTGAAGAGTAGAAGAATCAACAAATGATACACAACCACTTTCCTCTCCAGCAAGTCTTTGCTTAGCTAATCCTGAGTACATGCTGCAAAGGCTGATATTATTGCCCTGTAGATTAAGCAGTCTGAGGCTAGGAAGACTTGAGAAGATATCAAATTGCAGAGTCTGAAGGTGGTTGCTTTGAACATAGAGCTCCTTCAAATTTGACAACATGCCAGCATCTAGGAGAAGGTTCTGCAAAGCATTGTAGCTCAAGTCAAGGACTGTTAGGGAGATCAACGCACTGTCATAAGTTACTGCAAATGCCTGAAGACAGTTTTTACTGAGATTAAGGGTGTGAAGAGACAACATCGATTCAAAGAACTCATCCGGAATGGATTTGATTTCATTATAACTTAAGTCTAAATATACAAGCTGGGATAAATAAAGAGAACTTTTGTTTCTACTTTGCTTCTGATCAAGAAGATGAAAAGAAGCATCTAGCCATTCATTTTCCATATAGTCCATTTTATTATGAGGGGATTCAGCAGTGAGCTGGATTAGATTCTTTGATAAATTCAGAGTTACCAGCTTATTTACCTGGGGGAATACTGGGAAGTGAAGCAGTTTGTTCTCACTCAGATCCAAACATCTTAAGCTATATTCATCATCTGACTCTGCGGTGTGGAAGGTCTCAATGCTGTTCCTACTAAGGTCAAGTATCTCCAGCTGCTTGAGGTTGAAATCAGAGATGCAAGTAATTGAATTCATGGAGAGATTGAGTTTGGAAAGGTTCACTAGAGTCTCAAAAGCACCTTCTTCTATTTCCATGATGATATTACTCTGAAGATCTATCTCCACGAGACTGGGAGATCCCTGAAACATCTTGTGTGATATCATTATAATACTGTTGTCTGCCAATGAAAGATACCGCAGTGCTGGAGCTTGTTTAATGAAATATTCAGCCATCCCATTGTACAGACTGTTGTGGGACAAGTCCAGTATTTCCACCTTGGGTAAATGTCCAATCCCCTCTGCCCCATTCTGAGCAAGTTCATACAAGTGATTGTTGGCTAAATTTATTTCCAGCAAACTTGTCATGTGTGCAAAGACTCCAGGTGTGATGAAGCTTATCTGGTTAGAGCTTAAATCCAGGCACTGGAGGGAAGTGTAGAATGATAATGGCATTTCAGGGATGCTTTGAATCAGATTTCCAGACAGATCTATTTTGTTTACATTCGGATGGAGCTCACGAGGGATTTGGTGGAGGTCTTTGTTGTGGCAAAATGCCTGCAAGTTTGCCTGACAGAAAAAGAGAGAAAAGGGGCTGTCACGTGACAAATGAAAAACATGTTTCCATGAAATAAAAAGAAAATAACATTCATCATCCAGGCATATCCTTCTTCTGAAACACTAATAACACTACTTCCTCTGAGCATTCAGACAGCAAGAACCAACAATCCTAACTCTTCTTTGAAGCTAACAGCACTCATTTAATTTTAAAGACATTTCTGATTTACTGCAGTAGAATTTTATCTGCATGTGATACCTACCAAATGTTCTCCTTTTTGCACCTTTCTCCTGGGCTCATTTTAATAGTGCCAAGTGAAGGAGTTTTTCCCTCTTTTAATTGCAGTCAAGCACTATTTCCTCACTTTTGTTCTGATATTTAGATTTTCTCAGCTTCATCACTGTATAAGATTTTGCAAAGTCTACTTACAATAGTGAGCAGTACTTAATTATAAGAGTTTCACTCTGTCAGCAGCACAGGTCTCAAATCAAGGTGGAGAAATGTATAAGGATCCTATAGCTCAAAACCCATCTCTCTCCTTCTTAGTCACACCCTCAGATAGTTGAACATGTCTTTCTTTAGTCATGGATTAGTTAAGAAATGCATCTTTAACCAGATGGATTATTCAGCTGAAAATCTGATGCAAATCTCCAAACTCTTCCTGCTTTTACCATCCATCTTTATCCTTTTCCTAAGGCAACAGTTCCCTTCTTATATGGGGAACGTGCCTTATGAAACCACCCACACAAGACACTCATGATACAACACTGAAAAAACAAATTATGTAAAACTAGCTTTTGAGAGGAAAAAAGCTGTGATGTGCATTGAGGGTCATGCCTTTTTAGTCAAATTCTCAGCAGCAGGGTAGAGAAAAAACCTAAGTGTCAAAGTCAAATTAATGTTCTAGATGCATATCTGTTTAATTGCAGCTAGGGCTTAATCTGTGTCCAGCGCAAAATTTGGAGTGTATGTTGATAAGGAACATTGGAAACACAAGCATGATCATTCTTGCACAAATGTCAGGCTGTATTTTGTTACTAAGAAGAACATACAGCAGTGAGAGGAAGTAGAATCTGAAAGGCTTAGGCAGAATTTAAACTTACTGGAGGAAAACTCTTGTTATGAATTTACTTGGGTGATTGGGTCACATACTCTTTCTAGAAAGATCAGAAAGAAAAGAAAGAAAAAAAATCTGCTGAATCTTAACTTCTGTGGACAGGCAGAATCCAGATTCCATGATGCAAAGCTTTCAAACATAGAGAAAAATTAAAAGTAAAAAATATTAAAAAGCATCTGTTTCATGTGAACTTTTGGGTGAATGAAGTGACAGGTCTGTTTAGAAGTGGGGCAATAGTCAGTGATTTGCAAAACTCTTTTGCATCATGTGAGTTTTGGAGACTGCACAAAAATGTGGCAGAGAAGTGTTAGTGCTCATCCAAGCTCTAGATATACACAGACTGCTCCGCAGTCCTTCCCATGACACATCTTTCCCAAAGATCCCAAGTAAATGGCCAGTTAAAACCTGAACCCCTTTCTTTTTTTCCCTCCAACTTACTCAAATCTCCCCCAGCTAAACAATTTTTTTTTTTTTTAAATATAATTTTCTGGATTCTCCATGACATTATTTCTTTCCTGCAAAGCCATTGTAGACTTCCTCATTTTGAGCTAATATGTGCATAAATTTGGGCTTGTCTCCAAGGCCCAAATAACAGACTAGAAAGTCTCTTCTTGCTTGGTTTGTGAAAGAGGGAGAGTCCAGAAAGATACAAAAATCCAGAGTGAAAAAGCAGCAGCGATTTTTCAGCCTAAGGCAGATGCCAAGTTTCTTCCCACACTTTGAGCCAGATCTCAACAACTGTTGAGCGCCTTCCACTCCCTTGGTCACCCAGCATCTTAGTAAAGTCCTGATTCAACTCCCATCAATGCCAGCCAGCTGGTTTTCACTGAAGTCAATGGGGGAGAGGTCAGTCCCAGTTCTCCACGTATCTTGCAGGTTTGAGCCTTTAATCTGCATCCACTGAATCCTCCCAGTGATAAAAGGAACTCATAAAATCTATACCTCCCACTGTCTGCCATTTGTTCCTATAACATTTCGCCTCCATTTTTTTTTTTTTAAACTTTAATTTCTTTTCACTGTCTATTTTGATCCTCACCAAATTTCTTATCTAGTCTGTTCTGCACCATCTTTTCTCCCCTGAGGCTCAAACTGCATGAATTTCGTTCTCATCAGCACTAGGAAGAAAACATGAAGTACATTTCAGTGGGATGGAGCAAACAACATCTGTTTGCGTGTATCTCCCCTCCTCCCACCCCATAGCCCAATGGGTTGGCAGCCTGAGGCTGGAAAAGTTGGTTTTGCTGGTCTCACATTCTGACTTCATTACCTCTGCTGGTGCTGTCATAGGTTGGTTTGAAGTCCATTGGCAAGAAGTAGTGAAGGATGGGGAGTACTTTGTCCCTTTGGTGTACGGTCCTATTCAGGTGCTGTCAAAGAAATGACACAGCTGCTCCAAAGTTGAGCATCGTTTGAATTCTGACTCCAGTTCTTCACTGCTGACCACTGTGTGGAAGTTGTCACCCACCTTAGTAAGAGCCCTACAAACAAAGCAGCTGGATCCAAGCCTCCATTCATGTCCTCTTGTATCAACTCATGAGCATTTGAACCAAAGAATTTGGGCTGAAGCTACTTGGTACTGATGTGCAATTGCATGAAGTCCAGCCCATTCTCTAGAAGAGCTGCCCAGGCAGAGGCTCAGCTACACAACCAAACCTTAGCAATTTGCCCAGGTACCATGTATCAACTGACCTATGATAACCAGTTATGCACATATTCTTGCATTTCCTCAATGCAAGGTAAGATACAATTTGCTAAAACCCCTTCCCTTCTATAAATTAACTTTGACAGTTAATATCAATGAGTAGAAACATCTTTCTCTGGGAGATGAAACATGAACTAGCTCGAGTCCCTCTCCTTGGAAGGCAACGTGAGTTAGCAAGAACCTCCTGACATTTAAGCTGTGTCTTGTTGTCTCACAAACAGGTAGATGTGCAGTAACTTGTATAATCAGTGCAGCTCTCTCTCATGTCAGGGGTCTGGTAGGGACTGTTTACTTCCTAAAACCTCTTTTACAAGACTTTTGTTCAACAACAGGACCACCAGTGATGAAGCAGAGAAGGGCATGGGTTTCTGACTCATGCCTCTTCGAGGAGATTTAGGATGAAAGTTTCCATTTCTGAGCTTTTGCTATTCTAAACGTGTTGCCACAGGGAAAGTATCATGTAAAACAGCAAGTCTGTGATAAAGAATAATCATGTGAAGTAAGCAGAACTCTCAGTGGACCCATCAGCTAATCCAGTAGCTCCCTCTTTCTTTAAACTGTGTTTGGATTTACAATCTCCTCTTTCCATTGGACCAAACACCCAATGAAAGAAGATGATGGACACTGACATTAGCAATACTGAGCTGCTAATTTATACCAGATGAGCATCCCAGCCCCTGACTGCAGCATGGTTTCTGTCAGGGCCAAATTTATCCCAGCCTAGTTGCGTAGAGCATTGGGTTGTTGGCTTAATGAAAGCAGTTTACAGTGTAGTGGTGGAAACAGGCGTGTGTTTACTTCTCAGCAGTCAGCCTGATCTGTGACCCATCAAGAAATGGGACAGGATGAATCTGCTTGGATTATTGCATGTCTCGCCCAGCCTTCATGTGACTATGATACATGGGACCCAAGCTGTCATGTTTACAGTGGCTTCATCAGTTTTCTCTCTCCAGCCAATGAATTGAGCTACCCAGTCACCTTCCCAAGATATTTTTATATATACTGGGTCTTAATTTCTCTGGAATTCAGGAAGTGCAGCAATACGGCAGGGTGGGCAGGAATGGAATGAGTCCCATAAGGGAGATGTGTACAGCTAGCAAATTATTTTTTTCCCTATTTTGGAAATTCTTGAGGATTTGTGCTGAACAGCTTCAACATTCAGGAGGAAAAAAAAAAAAAAAAAAAGAAAAAGATAAGTATTTTTAAACGGCCTGTTACAGTCAGAAACTCAGAAACACTTGGGTAGGGAAGGGAGAAATTTCAGCTGTGTGTGAATAACTTTTATAATATTGTACCAGGTGCTTCCAAAAATTCAAGGAGCAAATTTGGTACTGGAGCAAATGGCTTTGTCACTCTTTTACCTCCAGCAGAAGTCAGGTACAACTGCCCTGATAGCAATGCTGTGTCAGGGCAGAAGAGGTCAGTCTCCCTGTTATTACAGGAGAGCTGGTATAGATGTATTTTACACAAGATGCTCAAGGCATAAAGAACTTCAGCCGAATATAAAGGAGTGGATTTTAGGTCTAAGTTCTTTCTCTGTCTCAGCCACAGAATCCCTGTACAGTCTTGGGGAAATCAGGTCAAATTTATTTCAAGCAGCTCTCCTTTTGGAAAAAAAGTGAGATAATGACCCTTCTTCCCCCCCCACACCTTTTATGTGTTGTCACTACAACAGGGACTGAAAACAGCTTGTTGAGCATCCTCCACCCCAGGAAAGCCCACCTCTGACTTCATGGAGAGTTTGGTCCTGGTGTGGGGGGTTCCCTTCTCAGAGAACACAGCTATTTGTGCGGGGCCTGTAACAAGGGGGTCCCAACCTCATCCAGGATCTCGAGAAGCCCAAGCGGGGAGATGGTCTTACCATTTCACAGGGCATCCCCTCTCTGGGCTGATTGTTAGAGGTCCCTCTGTTCACCACTGCCAGGAAGAAGATGACGTACAGTTTCATGGTTCTGCAGGTAAAAGCAATCATGGTTAGATTTCAAATGTGACACAGTGGGTGACGTGTGCTATGGCTGACACCAGATCATCATCTAGCATGGAGAACACACATGCAGTGAAATAAACTAACCCATCTCTGAGCCTACAACATTTACAACCTACATATGTACCTTTGCATCCCTTTAAGCCTGGTGGGAAAAAGAGAGATTTATATGAAGACTCGAAGGTCCAAGGAATTTTGTGGGATTGCCCCCATGTAACTTCACCTGCTACCTAGATGATACCCAGGCCAGCCAGTGAAGTCCAGATGCTCAAGCTGAGCAGTGTGTCTGGCACCATGGAGAAAGACAACTACTGAAGACTGAGTTATCTTCACTCTCACCATAGAGGCAGCTCAAATACTTACAACTGGGCTGGAGTTTTGGGGTGCCAAGTCCTGAGCAAAGCGAACGAGTGTCACTCAGAAACAACAAACATTGGGAACAGTCTCCGTTTCTATCCACATTTTCCACTCCTCTCATCTCAGAGTGTCAAAGAGCTTTTATACACTCATCCAGATGTGTTAATATAAACAGTTTAAAGAACGGACTGAGAACTATCTGTCCAAATGTGAGTTTTCCATTTTATACATCCCAGGTATGGACAGGCTTTTGAATAGTTTTGAAAGCAGATGCCTTATAAGAGGCAGATATAAAATGGGATGGGTTTGCATTAAACGAAGGATTCATCACAGTTTAACTGTTTGGAAAGCACACCAGAAAAAAGCATAGAAATAACTGCAAAAGGAGCAAACAACACTGGGAGGCCTGTCACTGGGCAATGATCACGGCATCAATACCGTTACTCAGCAGCTTCTACCCACAGAGTGTCAGGATGCTGGAAACAAAAACGATGGGATCATTCCCAGATGGTGGAGATCCCTCTGCTTAGTCACTCTTTGAGGGATGTGACTGATGGACACACTTCCATGTAACAATGGCAATTGCTGAACATCAGTGCCAACAGGTTCACTATGGGAACCTGCCCATCCCTCCACTTCCCAACCAGGAAAAAGTGTCATGTATTAGGAAGAGAGAAACTGGGGACGCTCAGACCACAGCCACTCTATTTTCAGATAGCACATTCCTTCCTCTTCAGGGAAACAACTAGTGATGGATGATGGTCTGAGACCCCGAGGTGAAAGAGTTTGGAATTTGTCTTTGGGGCTCATCAGGAGGATTAGAAGTCTGTCCCCCTCCCTCTAAAACAAGACCAAGGATGTTAATTCTTGGCTCTTTTAATTAACGCTTGAAAGATACACAGAAATCATTCTATGGAAGGGGGAATCGCTGATACCACCATCTATGATGTCTGTATAATTCCCCCTCTGTTCCTCATTCCCCGGGTTTAGAGGAGGGGGTATCTTCTTTAATGAGGACAAAATGAGTTTTATTGTTTCAGTATTAGTTTGCTGAAATTGAGGGAAAAGATAAACATGCCGATGATTACAAGGCTTTGCTCAGAGCCCTCAAACAGGAATTATTTCTCTTTAGATCCAATGAATTAAGCTGAGGAAATCTCCATGGATACTACCCACAACAGGGCACCACCCTGATGGACAGTGTGCATTCTCTGTGCTCTGCAATGTCTTCTCTTGTCATGTGTCTCAGTTCAAAAAATGGTCCTTTTTCTTCTTAAATAATAAACCCGGCACGATCCAGCATCTCAACATGCTTTGAAACTTCCTACATTGTAAGTTTATAAAGCAATTGGGAAATGTATGCATTTGAACACTAAAATATGATTTAATGGCTTGCTGTGTAAGAGAGATCTGTAGTAAGCAAGGACACTGTCCTTCAAGGTGTTTCTAGGGGGGCTGTCACACCCTGAAGGACTAGGAGATGGTGGTCTTCTCCAACATGAGACCACATGGGTTCTATCCAGAGGAGGATAAGCCACTCCTCATGGTACATCACAATCTCATTGCTCATGGAGATTCCCTTCTCAAGGTGGTTTTCAGTTCATCTGTCCAGCTGAGGAGCTTTTCCTGCCTAGCTTTCTCTGGAAAACCTTTAGACCCTCCCCAGCAACACCTAGTATGACACAGCACTGCGTCCTCCTCCTCTCTGCCCTCTGGGCAGGTCTCAGCCCCCCCCCCACCCTCTCTCAGTGAAGAGCTCAGGGCTCACAGGACCCTCATTGCTCTGGTGTCAGAGACCATCACCACTAATCCTCGCCTGCTGGCACTGGCACTGATGTCTCTAACCACAGCCTAAAAAAACAGTCCAGGAAAAACAGCTGAAGCAACCTGACCTAAAGGAGTTTTTATTGCTCTGAGGCTTTCCCAGAGCTGAAGCAACTTCATGCTCGGTGCCAGTTTTTCCCTCTGGCAGCTGTGATAAAAATCCCAGCATACCCCAGAGCAGGATTGAGCTCTGAACCCCATTCAATGTCACATCTTTTCATTACAGTACTTCAAAATCACCCATCCCCAGCTGAAAAATACAGGTGATTTCAGTGAGTAACACACACAAGGAATCTTTTTAAGTGGTTCAAACAATTTAGCATCTAGAAAAAGTATGGTAGCCTTACCAAGTCAGCATATCCACTTAACTGATGGAAGGGCAAAGGCAGAGAAGAGCAATGATTTGCCCCAAGAGACATTTGAAGCCATGGAATAATTGGGGCTTAATCCCAGTTCCCATTCCAGAAAAACATTTGCCTCAATCTCTATTACAATATTAACCCTGAACCACTTCATAGATGTTTCTTGTAGCTAACAACAACAGCACCTTCCAATTTTTACCCAAAGGTAATTTTTGTTACTGCTTAGACAATTAACAAAGACGTTTTCCTGTGCCAAAGAGAGGTTAAATACAAGAGAATATACAAAACACAAACCAGACTCCCCAGTGTCTGATCCTTTTCACACAACAATCTTTGCTTCTAAGTTAGAGCCTTCAGGGTTAAAAAGAGTGAATATTTCACATTTACCTTCTTTCAAGGGTTTCTCGCATCCCCAAACACTGCTTATCATGTCTTTAAAAAGCATATCCAGCTCTTCAAAACCAGTTCAGTCCTGGTACTGATGAAATTGTTCTTCAGCTTCACGTCAATCCGTTCAGGATGCCAAGAGGCTCACTCGTAACTTTAGAACGAAGGCATTTTCAGGGAAATAACCTTATTTGGGACAGTGTCTGCTTTAAATTATGTTGCTTGTCTTCCTCCGGACTCGTCTCTAGGCTCTTGCTGGGTCCTAGCCACCACTGTGCTTCGGACGGAGTCAGCTACTGTGTGACATCCTGAAGCCCTTGCTCAGGGCAGGAGTTAAGAAACGAGGGGGAATTTTGCCAGAGAAACTGTCAGGATCAGGCCATGAGTTTGCACAGGGGAATAAGTGACTTATCATTGCCGATGCCATTGTTTAGCTGTGTGCATGGTGCAAGGCGGCGTGTTTACTTTAGGGTTTTGTGCCTGCGAGTTCCATTCCTGGAGGGTTGCAGCCTCCTACCCCTGCACCTAAATCACTCTCTGCTTCATTAGGAAAACAGCACTTGAGGATTAAAGGTTTCAAATTCAAGGCTGATACATATAAAGCCCAGAGTCTGGAATCCTGTCCTGGAAGAAGTAATTCCCTGTATTTGTTGTGGTCCCACTAATCAGTGTGATAGCAGGCTGCTGGCAGGAGGAGGGTTCAGTGTCATCTACCACGCGCCTGACTTGAAGGGTTTTCATGTCAAGAGGCAGGAATTAGGGAGATTGATAAAGGCAGAGGGATCTGAACATCCAGATAAACTGCTGAATTTTTGGTAGTGAGTACCTAGCGCTCAATATACTGGACATTCTAGTAAAAACTTCACATTGCAAAAGGGGTGCTTTTGTCACACGGGAGATGATTTCAGATTGGTTGCAAGCTCAGCTTTTTATTTATTATTTTGTGCTGCCCTCTAGGGCTGGAGCAGCTGTCTAATTGCTAGTTTCCTCACTTCCTTTTGCTAATTAAAGTCCTGATTCTGGAAAACCCACCTTTACATAGTTTTCCCATTGCTTTCTCGCTACCTCACAAGTCTGAACTGTCTCAATGCACTTCTCCCATGGTTGAAATAATATGCCAAAGAGCTGGGCTCTTTTGCTTTGCAATGCAAATGAGAGGCATAAATGCTATGAAGAGACAGCACTATGCATGTGGGCAGGAGAAAACATGATAAGGTGTCATGGATAGAAAAATCCACGTTTAGCTCTCAGGACAACAGTCTGCCAGTGATATTAACACAACCCTGGACAGGTTGCCCTTGACTGGGCTCTCATCAGACCAGTTTTTATCACCTTCTCCCAAACACAGTGTTTCGAGCTTCCCTTAGTTGGAGCTGGCTGCAGAGCTGTTTTTCACTGGATCCTTTTGGCATGCCCCCTGGAGTCAAGCCCTCTATCTGCAAGCCCCTTGGGGTAAGCAGGAAACTCATGCTGAAGCTGGGGACCACTGTGGTGTCCAGAGGTTTAAATGCCTTTTGGATGCTCTCTGGGTTTAGAGTTTATTTCATCAGCAGTGTTCAATAGCACTTGCAATGCACAGACACTTTCACAAGGAAAACATCAAATATTTGAAGTCTTCAAGAAAATAAAAATACTTTTTCTTTTTAAATAGAGTATTTTGATTTGATTTGGAGATGGAATACAAATGTCATGCCTGTAACAAAGAGTGGTGAGTGCCCTGGATGATTGCATCTTCAAATGTTTCTACACCTGGATGTTCAGAGCACTTTGGGAAGTTTGGATTCGCAGGGGTAAAAATAGCAGGTTTTTTGTTGGGTGTGCTTTTTAAAAAGCCGGCTCTGTTCCTCAATCTGTTTTACCCAGTGGCCAAGCAGCTGTGCCAGCTGAACTGTGAAGAAGAGCCTGGACAGAAACAAATGCCAAAGCAGGAGGGAAGGGCATGCACTGATTCTGCTGCTCAGGACTTTGCTTTATTAAAAACATAGCTTTAGAGGACACCAACCGCGCTGAGAAAGATTAGCACTGTCCTTATCATCTTTGCCCTTTCCTGAAGGGGATTTCACAGCAAATAGTTTCAAAGACCCTGAAGCATTTGGCTGACATCCCATTTTCAACATTTTTGTGCTTTGGGCTACCCAGCAGTTTACACCTTAAAATGTTGTTGAAACATTAGCATGGTGTGTGCTTGGTAACCATGTCTGCAGAACAAGGGTCATCTCTATTGGGCAGATTGGAGAATCAAGCTCTTTTGCCCACCTGGATGAAATAGGAAGGGCTGTCCCATCCCACTGGTGCCAAAGGGTTTTCACCTGTGACTGTCTGAAATCAGACCCTTCCTGATTTTCCTGTGGTCTCCCTAGAAATTGCTCCCTGCTTGGTTTATTGCCAACATCATCTGGACCTCACCCCATGTCACCCAAAGCTGGGTGCACTTCATCAGACCTCTCCTCTCCCCCAAACCCTCTTCCCAGCATGCCCCAGAGCAAGAAAAAAAAGCAAATCACAGCCTCTGGCTCTCATGAGCCAGTCCATAATCTGCTGCAGGTTCCCAAGGGTTTCAGATAAACAAGAATATGTCTTGACGATTATGTGTCTTGAACCTCCAGACCTTTTGGAGTCTGTCCATCCATAACGCTGCCGCTTTCTAAGGCACTGCTTTTGGGTTGAGTCTTGTGTCAAGCCGTATGAATTAAACTCTCCAGAGAAGTAAACAAAACAAGCTCCCGCCTTAGAAAGAGGGTCTGAACTGCAAGGGCAGGAATGGGACGAGTCTTGCTCCCTTTCGACTGAAATAGCTCCCTGGTGATTCATCCCACCAGGGAGCTAGAGACAGCATTAATATTAACCCCATTAAAAAATAAACAGCCCATGCCATCATAATCCACAGCCTTTGAAAAGGAGACAGCTCCAGATCCTGAGACCCTATAACATCTTCAGGAGCTGCTTCTTGTTAATTTTGCTCATCTATCTGCACAGTGCTTGGTCTCTCATGGGCAGATGCAGCCTCCTGTCTCTCTGGTGTCAAGTCCACACACCAAAATAAGGACTCCTACATCTCCTGTAATCCCAACACAGCTTATCTCCTGTCTTTTGAAGCTGCTGCCTTCCTTCCTTCTCTCTCCACGTGCACCTCTATCAGGTGTTCAGCCAACAACATTTCCCCACCAAAAAATTAACATTTCCATTTAATTTGTCACACAGGGTTTAGCCAGTTCCCCTACTTTATTTACCATTTTTTCTATTCCTCTCTCCAGGAGAGAAAATGTAAATGAATGAAAATTGCATGAAACCCACCGGCCTGGAGACTTTGTGAGTGAGGGACTGGGCAAAGGGACAGCAGCAGATGGGAAAATGAAAACATTTCCATCAACAAAAAGTGACATCCACTGGTATTTGCAAATTAAACTATCTAAACATGAAATGTTCTCCATGGAGAAAAGAATTCCTGGAAAAACTAAAATTCAGGAACCAAACCAGAATCTTTTCTCAACAGCTTTTAATTTTGATTAAAATTGGCTTTTAATTCAGCAATTCTTCTTTTACTGACAGTGGAGTCTGTTTGAGAAAAGGTGTATTCAATTATCCAACAGGAGATAAAATGAAGTGAGGAAAATTATTTCTGATAGATTTGACTTGCATGATACTGATACCCCCCCCTTGAATCCATCCATTACTGTATTAGTAAAAGGCCAAGCACTGATACTGTCACTAAGCTGTAACCATCTGCTTTAAAAAGACATAACTGATTATGAATTTTTGCTATTGAAAACTAAAGGATTTCAGCATTTTAGTGTAGTAAGATGATTTTAACGTTGAAATGATTACATCTTAGTAAAAAAATAATTTCCACTATTGTGGAAAGCCAAACTTTGGCTTCTATTTAAGGGAAACATATCTGTACTTTTATCAAAAATACAACAGGGTTTGGCTTTAAAAAATTATCTGTGACTTTTATATAAACTAAGATTTTCTAAAACTTTACTATTTCCAAATATTGTCTAAACATTAATTACTCATGTAACAGTCCAGATGCAGCAAAACACTAGCAGTAAGTCATCGTTCACCCAAGGTGACATTCAAGCTGTCAGCATCTTAAGAGTAGAAAAATAACCCTGCCATCTCACACCTTCCTCTCCAACAGGGAGAGTTCAATGAAAGCACTGATAGTAACCAGAGTAGATGAACTAAACAGCATTTTACCCATTTTACCCAGGGACTGTGTGATTTGCCCAAGGCTATATTAGGATTCAGTGTCAGAGAGCTGGGTGAGCAGCATTTAATCAGCGGACAATGCTGATCTCTGCAGCACTCCTGGTTCAGAGCGCTATAATGCAGTAACACCATAAATAGACCAAAGTCCTGTGAAGAAAATAAAAAAAAAATCCATCTCCTCATCTTCCGTTACTGTAAACACAAAGAATAATAAGAAAGCAGGCATATGACAACTGTATTGTTATAAACTAACCGGTGCCTCCTTAACGTAAAGGATCTAACTTGCTGCAGTGCAAGTCCCTGATGGATTAAATATACAGCTGTGTGGATAAAGCCATCTACACAGTGTGTTTAGTCAGTTCCTCAGCCTATTCATAAACACAGTATATTTTATTTATACAGTACCTTCCTCATCTGTGTTATTTTTAAAGGCTGCAGCTCTAAGTCACCAGAGCCCCCGTCTCTCCCGCAGTCGAAAGCTCAACTTTCCAGCAGGCTCCCTGTTCCGCACGCGTCTCCACGTACCTGCTCTGTGGCTGGAGGAGGAGAAGGAGGAGGTTTTGCCTCTGCTTGCAGCCTTCTGCCTCCCGGACTCTCCCAGCAGCCTTTCCAGCGCAAGCCGAGGAAGAGTTTCCTTGGGGAAGTCGTACCTCTGTTGCATGCCAGCTGACTAAAACTCTGCGAGCTCCGAGAGAAGTTTGAAGTCACAGGGAAAAAAAATATTCCCCATAGACTGGTCCTTGAATTCATTCCTTCGCAGTCATGAGCTCTTATATATTCCCAGGCTCCCATGAGCACGTGAATACATACCTCCGTAATAGTTTTAAAATGTGTGTGTCCTCTGCACTTCTCTTTATTTTCCATTTCGTTCATTCAACCTTGGCTTATTTCCTGCAGTTTCTCAGCTGGTAATTGCGCTCCTCTCGTATTGACACATGAAACAGTCTGTGAATACCACAAAAAATCCCCTCCACAGGCTTCGGGGACACGTGCTTGTCTCTGAAGTTTGCCGTGCCTGTCCCACAGATGTGAGCATGTGCTATCAGCCTCAGGGACCTGCAGGTTCTCGGGGGCAGCACTTGCCAGGGCTGGGGTAAATCACAGGGTCTGGGCTGGCTGCAAACCCTAAACTGCCCATCCGTGCAGGATGGGGTGTGTAGGAAAAGGGTATATGGGAGGGAAACATTGCAGCAGAGCAAACAGATCACGTACGGTGTCCCAACAGCTCAGGTGTGTCCCTGTGGTACAGCAGTGGGATGGCCAAACGCACCCCTGGGGGACAGGATAAATTCAATTTAATGCTTGACTGGGTAATAACATAAATGCCTCCTAAAAAGGGCAATGAGATGGATTTTTATTTCTTTTCATCCGGTGTGAAACTCCCTTTTATTTCAGAAACAATGTTCTTGTGTAAATCAGTGGGAGACCTACACGTTACCTGTGTTGTCTTCTTCTGCTTAGAAGTGTCCTGATACCTGGGCAGGTGACCACCGGCTCCATGTCTGAGTTTGCAGGAGTACAAACCTCTGGTAGGGTTTTCCCAGCTCCTGGGCGGGTGTCTTAGGACCAAACTGAGTCTTGGCTTTACCAGCAATGACCTGACCTCCCCTGGACCACCCCACTGAGGAGCTCCCCTAGGCACCAGGTTCCACCTCAAATCTCCCACCTTCTCACTTAGGTGCATGAGGAGCAACTCCAAGGAGTGACCTCCCCCTCAGTGGAGAAGTTTGGTTTCAGCATGGTGTGGTTTTCCCCCTTTATATCAAGATGTGTAATAACGGCCAATGATTTTCACCAAAAAAAAAAAATGGGGTGCTGATTCCCTTCTCCTGGACAG